TCCTACGGTCGCAAAACATATATGCATCGTTCCAGTACTTTGAAAGCTGCGTGTGACGGGCCTAAGCAGATCCCAATCTGTCTCTGAAACCATATTCCTGAGCTGCATCTGCTCCTCACTGACTTGTGCGTCTGGCAATAAGGCCTAAGGCTTTAGGCGGAGATCGCCAAGCCAACCTTCAAACCACCAACGGTCTTGTGAGTCAGGTTATTGAGCCAAAGGCCCCAGTCCGAGTCCCCCAAACAAACCGCTTAAGTACAACCGCCACCTCACCTGTGATTGCCCACCCATACAATCGTATGTCTGCCCGCAAAGCACTCAGCATCGGGTGTTGGAACGTGCGTACACTAATGAACCGGGACTCGAGTGAGTGCCGAGAGCGATGCACTGCACTGGCCGCGATGGAACTGGCGCGCCACCACATTGACATTGGGGCGCTCAGTGAAACCCTACTCGCTAAGCAAGGAAAGTTGCAGGAAGCAGGTGCTGGCTACACATTCCAATGGGTGGGCAATGCCAAATCAGCACCACGTGATCATGGGGTCGGATTCGCAATATCCGATCGCCTCCATAGCCAGCTCATAAGGGAACCAACAGGCATCAGCGCGCGACGGATGACTGTTCGCCTACGACTCGGAAGAGGTAAGTTTGCCCCTTTAACATGCTTGTACGGTCCGACCATGTGTTATCCAGATGACAAGCGTGAGCAATTCTACACTCAGTTATCCACCGTGAAAGTGTCTGCGCAGAGGATCGAAAGACTTTTTCTGCTGGGTGATTTCCACGCGCGCGTTGTTCGTGATGCATCGGTGTGGATAGATGTCAACGGTCCGCATGGCATTGGTTCAGTGAATGCGAACGGTGAAAGGTTGCTCTCACTGTGTGCCACTCACGGCCTGACGAACACGAACACTCGGTTTGCACTGAGTGCAAGTGACATAGCAACTAGGCCGAACTTGCGGAGTGATCACGCTCACCCGTTCAACTATATCATAGTACATTAAGTGTAGATATTTGTGAGTAGAATAAAGTTCGTAGAAAGTAGAAGTCACGATTAAAACTCACACACAATAATGTGGCACGACGGGGAGTCGTGACTTCTACTTTCTATGAACTTTACCCTACTCACAAACATCTACAATTAATCTACCATCGCCCTTTGGACATTAGAAGGACAGATACTTCGGCCAATTG